TCAACACATATCAGACTGCATTCCATTTAATGTTCACAACGCTCGTGGAATTTCATCCTTATCGTTTATCAAATGTTAAACAAGGACGAACGATGCTTGCGAGCGTTGCGAGCGTTAAGTCAATGCATGTCACAAATAAAAAAGAAATAAATTTTATAATATAATTAAAGTCAAAAGTATATTTCACAAATTAATTATCAAATATTTGTATTATTTTAACATAAATATTAACATTTTATTATAAGAAAATATTTGCATCTAAATTATACTGTAACTGTATACGAATTATATCAGTAATATATATATAATAATATAATAATATAAATTATACTGTAACTGCATACGAATTATATCAGTAATATAATAATATAATCTTACGCGCTGACATAATTCAATTATATTATATTCTACAGGACCAAATTCATTTCATGCGTTCTCTGTTTTTACCTCAAAGGACATTTAAGCTTATCATTTTACTACTATTGACAGTATAAGCATTTCAATGATTGACTACAAGTAGCTATTATTATGCGTATGTTTCTTTTCTCCGATATATATTATAATGGTGAACATTATAATATTCGTTTTTCATGTCACCAATGTCTGTTTTAGAAAGCGAAATAAAAAATTTATTATGTTTTGTTTTTACCGACTGTAATAAATATGTATGTTTAACATTGAAAATGATCTGAGTGTGATCGAAACGTTTACTGCTAGCATATTATATTAAATTTTTACTTAACGATATATTTGTTTCTTTTATTTTTGTTCAACTTTTATATTTCGACGGTTTATTTTATTTTATATAATAATTTTTGGCTCATAGTCCTTTTTTTCTCTGATTTTTTTATAATAATATAATTATTTAATAAATTATGCATAATTGCCATCATATCTTACTTCCCATATAATTTTTGGATGCAGCGATTTTTTTTTTAATATAATTATTAAATATTTGTATTATTTTAACATAAATATTAACATTTATCATAAGAAAATAATATTTACATTTAAACTATATTGCAATTGCATACAAATTACATCAGTAATATAATAATATAGTTATTTAATATAATTATGCATGATTGCCATCGTCTTACTTCCCATATAATTTTTAAATACAGCACATCATTTAATATTTTTTTGTTTAATATTACGACATGTTGGTATAGTATAAAATATATATAGCTAAACTTATCTTCAAATAAATGTTTTAGATCAATGTTATTATTTAATTTATAGTTAATATAACATTATCTTTATATCTTCTAAACATTTTTTCATGAAAAAACTAAAAAGTTTTGCTATTTGCAAGGAAAAGTGTATCATTTATTTACATCTAAATTTACTTAATTTATTACAATTAGATTACAATTTTATTACAATTTATTACAATTGGATTGATTTTACTGCCGACATATTTAATGCAATTACGACAAACCTTTTACGTCTTAATTATACTGAAAACGTATGACCAGCAACGTGATGTAAAATACATATTTAATTCAACACGTGATAGGATAATTTTTTTATTTGTTTTATTCAACTTAAAACTTTTAATATTTGATTGTTGTAAATCATTGCTTTCAACATTGCGATAAGTCATCCCTTAAAAAGTGTTTTAATATACTGATTAACTTAGTAACTGATTAATTATTCAGTAACTGATGATATTTCATCAATTATTGAAATTAGTTTATTATAATTAATCAGTATATTGAAACACTTTTTCCTAAAGTATTATCATTGCTTTGATTTGATTATAGTAACTTATTGTATAAAAACAAATAATGAGCTAATGAGAATTATATGCACAGTTAGTGCGAAAATAAAAACGTTTATTATCGAAAAATCTATAATTAATTACACATAGACATTTCGGCTTGCCTTCATCGAATCATAATCAAATGTTTAGATACTGATGAGGATTTGAAAAATAAATCTGAAAAATTTTACGAAGTTATGAATTTTCTAAATGAATTTATCGAACTAATTTTATTATAACTTTTGGTAATAAAAATAATTGGAAACCATTTCAGAAAAGCATAATATTAATACAAAATCGATAATTAAACTATCAACATATTTGTTAAATAATAAAAATTATAAATATGTTTTGATTAGTAGATTTACTAAGATTGCAATCGAAAATTTATTTTCAGTATTCCCTGGTGAAAAAGTTTCCTGATGAAAATGTTGTTGAAATTATTCCACGTTTTGGAATTTTAGCGAAATTGCTGAAAATTTGCTGAAACTTCACTGAAAGTGAATTTTTCAGCTAATATACTAAAAAATCACTTACTTATTCCCCTCATTATTTCTATTACTAACTATTTTTAGTTAGTAATAATTTTAACCAGAGCCATTTATTTTGCCACGAGATAGATGTATTCTGGTTTTGAATCTTCAGAAGCTAAATATTCTAATGCTGTACTTATTTCATAACTTAAAACATAAGCACTTTTTACACGCATTTTTTGAAAATGTTTTGATCTATCAAAATATTTGTCACGTAATTTTGGACATAATGATAATAGGAAATTCTTTTGCTTATTAAATAATCCCTGGTAATTTCCTGGTTTAACATGTGTTACATTTGTTGATAAATTATACTTTTTTACATAATGATCTGACGTTTAAATTCATAATTAAACATTCTTTGTTTGAAACTTTTGAATGCATACATACAATCATGAAAAAAGAAAAACTATCTTCTTTTGGTCTCATGAATGAATGCATTTATTTTATATTGTTGAATATTTTGGTACTTGAATATTAAATGCTCTCCACATAGCTTGATTTGAAGCACATATATGAAATTACGGCGTGAATATATAATCCGATTTCTTCAGTTTTTTTAATAATTTATATAATTTGTTTATATATTGATCCTTGAGTTATATTTATTTCATCTAAAATAACAGAGTCTTTATCTGTACTGTACCAGGCTTGCCGCCGGCTCAGTGCTCCCAAAAAAGTGAGAATAGTGAGTTTTATATTATTTCGAAATAATGAGAGAAAAGTGAATTTTTTTAAACATTGAGCAACAAACTAATTTGTTTTAGATTTGATTAAAATTGTATAGAATTATATCTAAGAATTAGCACTTTATTATTTTGAATATTATATGACAATGATACTTTTCATGATCATTTAATATTCCATTAAATACATTTTTGAATTTTAAAAACGTTATCATTAAGAATACACATTTCAACACGTTCGGCAGAGAAGATGACAAATTTCTACTAACTAATAGCATCTAAATTCAGAAACTGAACCAACTTAGGAATGAAATAAGTGTCTGGAAACAAAGTTATTATTTTCAAATTATTATTTAATATAGGTATCTAGTTTCTTAAAATTCTATAAGTTTATTTAAGTCTTTCATAATCAGTAAAATTAGAACATATTTAAAACTTTCTAGTATAATTTTCCCTTAATATTGGGTTGAAGGAAAAGTTCTATGGTATTTTGTTAGTCAAAATTATACAACATATCTTCGTTAAAAATAAACAAAATTTAAATTTAAAAATTTCTAAACCTTGAAATCTACTTTTGAATAATAACTATATTTTTTGAATTTATGTGAGTTTTGTAATTTTTATATATAGAAAACTACGAGCTGAAAAAAAGGGAAATTTTTCTTTTCACTTTGTGGGTCTGTTACATGCCAAAAAAATTTGTAAAAATTTTTTACTATTTATATCGTGAAAGTTTGAAGTTTTCCTTACAAAATCATTTTTAAGAAATGTTTCTATGATTTTTTATTCTTGAATTATTCACGAGTTAAGTAAAAAAAGAGTATTTTGACTTTGATTGTTCATATACTTCATTAAAAATCATCTGCAATTAAAAAAAAACAGTTTTTTAAAGCTAAATCGTTGCTCTATTGAGTGATATAATTACAATTTAAAAAATAGGATAGATAAATTTGAGCTAAAAATGATATTGCTATTCTTATAACTATTGCTCATAAGTAATATCAATAGTAATATCACATTTTTATAACTCAAATTTCTACATATTTTACATTTAAAAAATTAGTATATTATTTGATAGAGCAAAGTTTCAGCTTTAAGAATCCGTTTTATTAACTACATATAATATTAATATGATGATTTTTAACATTATGAGTAATCAAAATCAGAATGCTCTTTTATTTAATCCGCGTGTAACTTGATAACAAAAGTGGTAACAAAAAGTCGTAGAAACATTTTTCAAAAACGAACTTTTAAAAAACTTTAAGCTTTCACATCAGATAGTTGATAATTTCGCAACAAATATATTTTGTATATAATTGTGAGCTAACAAAATTCCACAGAACTTTTTCTCCAACCCAATATTATTTGGTATAATATCGCAATAAGTTTTACACATTTGTAATATCACATATAAGTAATATCACATATTCTAATAAGTTTTTCATACTGTTAAAGCTATCACCTTACATGGCACAAGTACATATGACAACATGACAACACTTTTCACGACTATAGCGCTCAATAAATTGATTTAATTTAAGTGGATTGGAATAACTGTAAATTATAATGAAATGCTTAAATAAAAACCTTCCTTAAATAATTAGTAAAAGAAAATCCCACCATATATGGCATGAGATTCAAATTATTCGAATCTATTCACAGAAAAGGAATGAAAACAAAAATTTTAAAAAATGCACAACTTTTTAAATGCAAAAATTTTAAAAAATGTACAACTTATTAGACAGAAATTATAGCAAATACAGAAATAATACAATTTTATCAAAAAATAGTGAGTTTTTACTGAAAAAATGAACAAAAGTGAGCCTTCTTCAAAATAGTGAGTAAAGTGAGAATAATGACTCAGGCAACCTGATCTGTACTATTACTAAATTGTGAAACTTTTATATTTAAAAATTGATAAATTTCATACAATATTCCACTTTAGAATTTTAACTTTTCAAATTTTCTATTTAATGTTCTAATAGATGGAATGGGGAACTTTGCGAAAGCTCTTTATATCCTGATAGGCTGCACACAAATTTTAAGTGATATATTTTAATTACATTACATCATTTGGAATTTTTTAATATTTTTTGTTTAAAGAACTGTATCTGATCTGCAAAAGTTGTCAAATAACTGTAGGATAACTATTCGATAATGCATACTTTTTTTTTTAATTCCTTAATTCTGTTTTTATATTGGTTTTGTAAACGTTTATATCTCTTTTCCATACTCATTCGTAGTGATTCTGACTTCCGAAGCAGCTTTTCTAATTTCTTAATTTTTTCCATATACAATAAATTTTGTTTATCCAAACTGCGTTCTCGTTTTGAAACCAATGTGTCGTCTTGTATGTTTCCATCACTATATGATTCTGCTATTTCTTCTTCAACAGTTTTTTTGTTTATTTGATGAGTTACTGCTTTTTCTTCTTCAATATCAGATAGAAGATTATCTGATTTACATTGACCTTCTTTCAGATTATTTATAGATATTGTAACAGTACCATCATAATCTGTCTTAGATATTATTATCTGAGATTGTTTAATTCCATTTAAATTAGCAGTATTTTCTGAATAAAAATAAATATTATCTAATTAGTAGCAATTACAATGATGACAAAATTAACTATTACTTTGAATTAATTACTATAATATTAATTACTATAATATTAATTACTATAATATTAATTACTATATTTTTTGTATATATTGGATCATCTAAAAAGTATCCGCGGTACTTTGTCACTAGATATATGACCATCAACACACATCTAGTGAACAAAAAACCGCGGATACTTTTTAGATGACTCAATATTAATAATTACACACTTAAATATCATTCTTATTATTTCTAATATAAACTGAGAGAATAATAAATTATACAAAGTTAAAATTGAACTTACGATTAATTTTAGCTTTGTTTTTTTGTTGAGTTACTAATTCTCCAAATATTGTTGGAACTGCTGTACACTTAAGTTTTTTTGTTCCATCGATTCGTATCTTTTCCCACATATTTGAGGTAAAATGAAACTTAAAAATAAGGAAGTAATTTTACTATTTATATCAAGAAAAAATATAATAATAATGTAACACACAAAAATAAATTAAAATATAATAAGTGTAAAGTTGTGCACATATTCAAAAGTAAAATATAAAATTAAATAGGAAAATATATAAATAAAATACCTCACATAATGCTGCAGAGCGATTTAATATTTTATTTTCCAGTTTGGCATTTCTTATCCATACGTTTCGGCGATAAGCATTTTTTGGAAAACAATTCATTTTAACACCTTTATTAGACGAATTCTTACAACCAACTGCTGCACAGGTTACCATTTCGTCGATGTCTACATAAAAATTAGATAATTATGAAGGAGATAATCGATTTTAATGAAATTAGGCTCATTCGATGCGTTTTTGCACGAAATGAATGAATG